AGCAAACTAACGGTGATGGTGAAGCCCTGCGAGCCCCCAAGCCCGACCAAACGGGGAGCACCCTACTTTGAGGGCGCGGGAAGCTGCAGTTCAAGTCCGCCCTCAGGCTTGTGAGGGTCCTGAGAAGTCAGAGGTCAGCGAGCCCCCCTGGACTCAAACAGCAGCAGGGCAGGAGAGGGGCGTCTGGGGGGCGCCGGGGCTGGCACAGCTGTCCAGCCTCAGGTGGAGCCCCGGAGCCACTGCTGGGTCGCGCCTGCTGGGCCAGAGGCAGGAGGGTCAGCGCAGGGGCCGAGGCTGGAGTGGGCGCCCCTGACCCTCCCCAGGGAAGGAGCCCGCAGGGGCGTCTCAGAGCCCCAGGCCTGGGGAAGGGGGAGGGGCGAGGATGGCCTGGGCCAGGGGTTCAGGGAGGGGAGAGCCCTGCTCCTGGCCAGGGAGTTTGTCCTCTGGAGGCTGCTGTGAGAAGGCAGAGCCTGGAGAGGCCCCACAGCGGCCCTGGGGCGCCCCTCCCCGGCCCCTGGCCAGCCTGACTCAGAGGCCTGCCAGCCCTGGGGCGCCTGGAGCTGGGAGCCTTGTTGGGGGGCTGGAGGGTGGGGGGCTCCCTCTCAGCTGGCGCGGGCAGGAAGTGCGCCCCACCTTCCCTTGGGTTGTTTCCGCCAGAAAGTCTTGGGTTCTCGACACCCCCGTGGGACCCAAGGCCTTGGTCCCCGCGACTGCGGGGTGAGCTGGTTGGTTGCTGATTCGGGGCTCCTTCCCAGATGAGAGGCTCTGAGGTTAATTACCTGTGTGTCTGCCACTGGCGGTGGCTAATGACCGTGTGCCGCCGTGCCAGGCCCCAGGAGCAGGTGGGGGCGGGTGGACTGTACAGCAAGAGCTGCAGGCTGGAGCCGTCCAGGGGGCATCTGGAGGTCAGGGCTCCTGGCTGGCCCTCCCCCGGTGGGCTTCATCCCAGCTGAGCCCCGCAGGCTGCTGGAGCCAGAACCCCAGAGAAGGAGCCGCCGTGCGGGAGGCCGGAGCTAGCGTGACTGGGCTGTGATCTGGCGCCGAGCAGACGCAGGTCAGGAAGCCGGGGGGCGGGGGTCAGCAGCCAGCCTCTAGGCCCCCAGCCCCAGCCCCCCTCCCAGCCAGCCAGCCAGACCCCCAGCCCCCCATCCAGCCCTCAGCCCCCCAGCCCGCCAGCCCCCGACCCCGCAACCTGGCAGGAGGGCTGCAGGGCTGGGCCACACCTGATAACCGTGCAGGCCGCTGCCCCTGTGCGGCTCACCCCGGGGGTGTGGCCTGGACGCCAGGGGGTGTGGCCTGGACCCCAGCTCTGCGAGGCCGGCGCTTGCCTCGGGCCTCCACTGTAACGCCCTGGCGGC